GCTGAGAACTGGCGACTTTGTAGTACAACTTTAGTACGCGGAGTAGCCGGGGAGCTGGAAGATCAGAACTGGCGACTTGGTAGTACAACGTTAGTACGCGGAGTAGCTGGGGAGTGGGAAGATGAGAACTGGCGACTTTGTAGTACAACTTTAGTACGCGGAGTATCTGGCGAGTTGGAAGATGAGAACTGGTGACTTTGTAGTACAACTTTAGTACGCGGACTAGCTGGGGAGCTGGAAGATGAGAACTGGCGACTTTGTAGGACAACTGTAGTACGCGGAGTAGCTGGGGAGCTGGAAGCTGAGAACTGGCGACTTTGTAGTGCAACTTTAGTACGCGGAGCAATCCGTGGAGCTGGAAGCTGAGAACTGGCGACTTTCTAGTACAACTTTAGTACGCGGAGTAGCTGGGGAGCTGGAAGCTGAGAACTGGCGACTTACTAGTACAACTTTAGTACGCGGAGCAATCTGTGGAGCTGGAAGCTGAGAACTGGCGACTTTGTAGTACAACTTTAGTACGCGGAGTAGCCGGGGAGCTGGAAGATCAGAACTGGCGACTTGGTAGTACAACGTTAGTACGCGGAGTAGCTGGGGAGTGGGAAGATGAGAACTGGCGACTTTGTAGTGCAACTTTAGTACGCGGAGTATCTGGCGAGTTGGAAGATGAGAGCTGGTGACTTTGTAGTGCAACTTTAGTACGCGGACTAGAAGATGACAACTGGCGACTTTGTAGTACAACTGTAGTGCGCGGAGTCGCTGGGGAGCTGGAAGCTGAGAGCTGGTGACTTTGTAGTACAACTTTAGTACGCGGAGCAAACTGTGGAGCTGGAAGCTGAGAACTGGCGACTTTGTAGTGCAACTTTAGTACGCGGAGTAGCTGTGGAGCTGGAAGCTGAAAACTGGCGAGTTTCTAGTACAACTTTAGTACGCGGAGCAATCTGTGGAGCTGGAAGCTGAGAACTGGCGACTTTGTAGTACAACTTTAGTACGCGGAGTAGCTGGGGAGCTGGAAGATGAGAACTGGCGACTTGGTAGTACAACTTTAGTACGCGGAGTAGCTGGGGAGTGGGAAGATGAGAACTGGCGACTTGGTAGTACAACTTGAGTACGCGGAGTATCTGGGGAGCTGGAAGATGAGCACTGGCGACTTTGTAGTACAACTGTAGTACGCGGAGCAGCTGGCGAGCTGGAAGATGAGAACTGGCGACTTGGTAGTACAACTTTAGTACGCGGAGTATCTGGGGAGTGGGAAGATGAGAACTGGTGGCTTGGTAGTACAATGACTTGGTAGTACAACTTTAGTACGCGGAGTATCCGGGGAGCTGGAAGATGAGAACTGGCGACTTGGTAGTACAACTTTAGTACGCGGAGCAATCTGTGGAGCTGGAAGATGAGAACTGGCGACTTTGTAGTACCACTTTAGTACGCTTCATTCCAGCTTGCTTTTTTCAGTGAGATTTCCTGGAGGCGTGCACGCTGCTTCTCCCCTTACCAGCAGCCCAAATGCTCACGACGATGAGCTGGGCTGTCACCGCTTGGCCGCCGGTGGGGGGTTTGGGAGGCCTGCGCGCTAGTTCGTTCACTATATGTACAGTGAAGACCTTCACCAGCAGCAGACATGGACATACACACACAGACAGGGACTCATACACACACACACACATCACGCACAGAGACCCACGCACTGCCTCAACTTACTCGGACACACACACACACAGACAGAGACTCATATACACGCGGACATAGATACAGAGACCCACACACTACCTCAACTCACTCGACTTAACACTTCACACTGCGCACTTAACAGATAACTTGCACTCTGACTTCCTACGTGATGAAAAATGCTTTCGGGCCACTCGTCGTCTAGTTTCTTGCTCTGGACTCAATGACATTCGATCAAAGCTCGAAAGACCCGAGATAAAATCGTCTCCACAGAAGTGGGCAGACAACGACATAACCGACAGGTTGGGGGAGACAGGTTGGTTGCGCCTGCTGTCGACGTCCCTCGTCCCGCGGTGTTTTTCGGAAACGTGGCAGGTTCATGAGGTGGTCTCAGTGCTGAGTGGCCAAAAGCCACATGAACATGCAGACGAGGAAGAGATTGCCCCCCACGGCCGAGGCTGGGCACTGGGATGAAACACATTCAGGGGATCCCTTCGGGTTTTGGCCCTGGCCCAAAGTAGATGCCATCTACAGATATGGGGTCAAAGGATAAGCTGTAGGGACTGGCAGGTGGCATGGTCTAATTGGAGGATTTGGTTCCCACTGGAGTTTGAGCCATGGTCATAAGCCAAATATCTTCTGAGTTGGTGTCAGACGGCTCGCATAGCATGCGGAAGAGAGTGGTTTCTAGATGGAAGCATCAAAGCAAAGGCTACCGGGGACAGTCTGGAGGCACAAGAAGTTGAGTCTTCTTGTGAAATGCCAAGAGTCTGTGGGAGTTCGGAATAGAAATAGGTATAAAGACCCTTGTGAAAGACATATTGGATTAGCCCTTGTGAACGACCATCCAACATGAACATCTCCTGGGTCGGAGGAGGACCTGGAACCGTTGCTCTTTCAGTGTTGACAACAGACACTGCAGGTCATCCCAAGGATGAATTGCATGAAGAGCCAGTGGTGAAAACCCAGGACCCGATGACTTTCGGACGATGAGAGAGGAAGATGGATGGATATGATGGATATGGGCCATAAGGCATCTGTTTCTACTAGCTTCTTGTTACTACTAGTAAGGCACTTGTTACTAGTAGCGTGGCACCTGTTACTAGATCAGATTTTGCCGATCCTATGGATGGATGTCTTGCTCAGACGTCTTGCTTTGATCGCACACAATGGTTGACAACGCTTCTCGGAGATGCGACCTCGCGCGGGCGGTTTGGCACTGATGGATTTGGATAGGAGATGACCAAGGAGGAGGAGAAGCTCTTTGAAAAGAATGGTGCTCAAGTGCCTCTGCGTCACTGAATTCCGCGAACCATCGTGAACCCCAATAACCTTGACCTGTTTGCGAATGTTTAGACTTCAATTAGCCACCCCTTTGCCCCAGATGGCTGGTTCCTAGTGAAGAGGCCCCAGAGTGTTTTTAAGGTTTGGCACTCTGACTGTGCGGTAGCTGTACTCTCTGTACTCTGTCCAGGCAACGTGCCTAAATGGGTCCCTAGATGGAGGTGTGTTGCCAGTGACAGCTTATCAGATGAACTGAGGAGAAGCCAGTGTCGCCTATGGAAGAGAAGCCCGTGTCACCCACAATGGAGGAGAAGCCAGAATCACCCCCGAGCGAGACCGAAGAAGTTTCCAGTCCTGGCCTTATCGCAGTACCATACAATTTCTCCAAGCGAGTCGCTCATTAGGCATGTTTGTTGCAACTTCTGAGCCAAGGGGTAGGAGCAAGGACGCTACTAGGGCCGCTCCTGCCATCACTACTAGGAGCAAGAAGGCTACTAGTAGCAAAGGGCATCGCT